ATATATATATATATATATACACGCCTGTGTATATGGGGCACTATACATGGCGCTATGCAAAGCCATGGGAAGCAATGACATGCAATGCGACTTCAAGGGACTGCAATCCGATGGCAATGCAGTGCGATTGCAATGCACAACGGGGGGGGTGCACGGCGACGAGGCGGCGACGACGCGGCGACGGGCGGTAACGGGCAGGCCAGACCGGAAGCCAGGCCCAGGCGATAGGCAGCGATGAGGCGGCGACGAGCCGGCGACGGGCGGCGACGGGGTTCAGATTGACAACCAGGCCCAGGCGAAGGGCGCGACGAGGGTGCGACGAGGCGGCGACGGGCGGCTACATGCCGGCCAGAACGACAACCAAGCACAGTTCTGTAAGACACAAGCAAGAAACCCTAAGTGCAGGCACTGTTAGCATAATCTGTAGATTCTTCAGACAGTGCTTGCGCTTAGGGCATATTAGTTCTTTTCTCAGGAACTGGGCCTGGGTGTCGATATGGCGGCTCCGTGCTCGCCGCTGCCGACCGTCTGTTCCTAGGTGTCGGTTTGGTGGCACCGTGCTCGCCGTCGCCGCCCCGTCGCCGCCTCGTCGCGGCTCGTCGGCGTCGTCTGGGCCTGGGTGTCGGTCTGGCGGCTTCGAGATCGCCGTTGCCGCCCCATTGCCGCGAACATTGCACACATAGGTTGCATTACATAGATTGCACCGCGTATGTATGTATACCACCACATATATCGCACCACACACATGCACACATAGTTTGTTCAACATAGATGCACCACCCATACTGCGCCATATATATATATATATATATATATCGCAGGTGAGGGGGTGAGATCGAAGTGGAACGGAGAGCCCCCCTACCGGGAAATCGATTTCGGTTTCGTGTTCGTGCGTGCCGTGCGGGCGAGGCGAAGCTGCGTGGGCGGGCGAGAGAAAGTCTCCTGTGGCTGAGGCGCGGCCGGACCAAATGTCTCCCTTCCAGGCGGCCGGGGGCCCGCGGTGTCCCGCCGGTGTCCCGCTGGTGTCCCGTGTGGCTGAGGCGCGGCCGGACCAAATGACTCCCTTCCGGGCGGCCGGGGGCCCGCGGTGTCCCGCCGGTGTCCCGCTGGTGTCCCGTGTGGCTGAGGCGCGGCCGGACGAAATGATTCCCTTCCGGGCGGCCGGGGCGGCGCGGTGTGCCGCCGGTGTCCCGCCGGTGTCCCGTCGGTTTCCCGATAATGATGATGTTGATGATGATAATGATGGTTATGTTGTTGCTGATGATAATGACGATGATGGTGTCCCAGTGATTATGATGATGATGTTGATGATGATGATGATATGACGATGATGATGATGTTTCTGCCCGTTGTTGTTGATGATGATGTTGGTAATGATGACGCTGCTGATGATGATTATGGTATCCCGATGATGATGATGATTTTCACGGTGGTGATGATGATGGTGTTGGTGATGGTGTACATATGATGATATTGATGATGATGTTGGTGATGATGATGCTGCTGATGATGATGGTGTCCCGATGATGTTGATGATGCTGTTGATGATGATGATGATGATGATGATGATGATGATGATGATGATGATGATGATGATGATGATAACGAGCTGATGATGATGATGGTGTCCCGATGATGTTGCTGATGTTGACGATGAAAATGGTGGTGACCATGGAGGTGTCCCGATGATGTTGATGATGCTGATGGTGATGATGACGATGGCTGTGTCCCGATGATGATGATGATGATGATGATGATGATGATGATGATGATGATGATGATGATGATGATGATGATGTTGCTGACTATGATGAGATGATGATGGGGATGATGATGGCATGATGATGACGGCGTTGATGATGATGACGATGATGATGATGATGATGATGATGATGATGAAAGTGTCCCGATGACGATGAAGATGATGGTGTTGATGATGATGATGATGACGTTGAATGTTAGATCGATTGTTATATCGGTAGTGAGATCGATAGTGAGACCGAATGTGAGATCGATTGTGAGATCGATAATCAGATCAATTGTGAGACCGAGCGAATGAGATAGATCGAGTGAGATCGATTGTGAGATCGACCGAGTGAGATCGATCGAGCGAGACCGATAGTGAGATGGATAGTGAGACCGATCGAGTGAGACGCTGCATCCTCCCCCCCCCGAACCTTCTTATCACCCGAAGGGTGGTCTTATAGGTATGTATATATGTCGGAGGTGAGGGGGTGAGATCGAAGTGGAACGGAGAGCCCCCCTACCGGGAAATCGATTTCGGTTTCGTGTTCGTGCGTGCCGCGGGTGCGTGCGAGGCGAAGCTGCGTGGGCGGGCGAGAGAAAGTCTCCTGTGGCTGAGGCGCGGCCGGACCAAATGATTCCCTTCCGGGCGGCCGGGGCGGCGCGGTGTCCCGCCGGTGTCCCGCCGGTGTCCCGCTGGTGTCCCGTGTGGCTGAGGCGCGGCCAGACCAAATGATTCCTTTCCGGGCGGCCGGGGGCCCGCGGTGTCCCGCCGGTGTCCCGTCGGTGTCCCGTCGGTGATGATGATGATGATGATGATGATGATGATGATGACGATGATGATGATGATGATGATGATGTTGACAACGATGATGATGGTGATGATGATGATGGTGGTGATGATGGTGAGTTCGGTAGTGAGATCGATAGTGAGACCGAATGTGAGATCGATACTGAGATCGATAGTGAGTTCGATAGTGAGATCGATAGTGAGACCGAATGTGAGATCGATTGTGATATTGATTGTGATATCGATAGTGAGATCGATAGTGAGATCGAACGAGAGTTCGATCATGACTTCGATAGTGAGTTCGATAGTGAGATCGATAGTCAGATCGATTGTGAGATCGATTGTGATATCGATTGTGATATCGATAGTGAGATCGATAGTGAGACCGAATGTGAGATCGATTGTGAGATCGATTGTGAGATCGATCGAATGAGATCGATAGTGATATCGGTAGTGAGATCGATCGTGAGACCGAATGTGAGATCGATCGTGAGATCAATAGCCAGATCGATTGTGAGATCTATTGTGAGATCGCTTTTGATATCGATAGTGAGATCGTTAGTGAGATCGAGTATGAGATCGATAGCCAGATCGATTGTGAGATTGATCGAATGAGATCGATAATGAGATCGATAGCGAGATCGATAGTGAGATCGATCGAGTGCGACGGTGGTCCCCCCCCTCGCCTCCTTATCACCCGAAGGGTGGTCTATGCGGTATATATTCTCCTTTCTAAAAAGAGAATAGACTCTACCCCCCCAGGCGTTATCCCCCTCCTTTCGGGTATTTAAATCAGATATGATTCTGACCACATGTCCATCCTAACTATGAATTTAAACTATCCCAGGGGGGCCGGGATCGGTTCCCCTGAGGTTCCCGTGTAAAAAACAATATGCGGGGACATTTTTTGTTCTAACATAAGACTTTTTCGCGAATCCCTTCCAACAAATGGGACGAAGTGCACACGCGCGCGTCGTCGCGCGCGCATGCCGAAATCCTTCAAAACCTTCGGTGTCGGAAGGATTTCGCAATCGAGTTTCCAAAACACATACAAAAGACAAAGGGTTTCGCAACACTGATTTGCCAAAACAGCTTACGCGCGAGCTCTTGCGAAATCTTAAGAAAATCATAGGTTTGTTTTTCAATTTTTTCACAACATGCTACGGGCTTCGCGCGCGCATGCCGAAATCTGTCGAACGCCCTTGAGCGTGTGCCGTCGCGAGAATCCTCTGCAACAAATGGGACGAAGTGCAGACGCGCGCGTCGTCGCGCGCGTATGCCGAAATCCTTCAAAAACCATCGGTTTCGGAAGGATTTCAAAATCGTGTGTCCAAAAAACCTACAACAACAAGGTTTCGCAACACGGATTTTCAACAAAAGCGTGCACGCGCGCTTTTGCGTCGTTGTCGTCGTCGTCGCCGTCCTCCCTCCTCCCGCGTCGTCGTCGTCGTCGTCGTCGTCGTCGTCGTCGTCGCCTACGTCGTCCTCTGCCTTTCCTCGTGTTCGTCGTCGTCGTCCTCTTTGGCGTCGTGGTCGTTTCCGTCGTCGTTGTCGCCGTGGTTGTCCTTCCTCCTCCTCCCTCGTCGTCGTCGTCGTCCGTCGTCGGCGTCTCGTCGTCGTCCCTCCTATTTCGTCGCCGTCGTCGTCGTCGTCGTCGTCGTCGTCGTCGTCGTCGTTGTCGCTGTCGTCGTCGGCGTCGCTGTCGTTGCCAAGTGCCATTTGGTACCCACCGTCACGGTCTTAATTGCAAACCAAGTTGCGGGTGGGTGGGTGGGATGTTTGCGCGAGCAGTGGAGTGGACAACTCACTGCGAACAGAAATTATTGCACCACATAGATTGCGCACCCTTCATTGCACCGCATACATTGCACCACATGTGTTGCACACCATAGATTGCGCAATCCATATTGCACCACAGGTTGCACCACATAGGTTGCATCACATACGTTGCACCACATATATTGCCTCACAACTATTGCACAAAATATATTGCACACGGTGTATTGCACAGCATAGATCGCACAACATATATTGCACCACGCATGTTGCACCGCGTGTTATGCTCCACAGAGATTGCGCACCAAATATGCGTACACATGTATTCACATGAATAACTCGCATTTGTTTGGAGTAAGCGCTGTGATCAAATCAGAGTCTGTTACTGGGGTGAGACTATGCAGTTAGACTTTCTTCAGTGTTTGGAGTCTCTCAGGGGCTCAACGGGGACCTCTTGGCAGTTCCTTGGGTTCCAGTTTGGAACATGTTCAGGAGTCCGGGAAGAATCGTGAGGGTGTACAGTGCATGTCGATGGCCTCGTACACGCACTGCAGTCCAGGAGCTCTCAAGAAGGAGGCTGGCCGAGCATCGAGGGGCTCGTGAGAAACGCCACGGGCCGCTCCAGACTTCGGATTAGTGTGCGCAGACGCTGAATGATTGTGACATTTCTCGGCTCCGATGCGCGACGCAGCCCAACGACGACCAGCCGTGGGCGGAGTTCTACACGAATAACTTGTGGTGCACGCCGCTTCTTCTCTTCCGCTTGCACCTTGCGTCAAAGGAGGAGGAGGAGGAGGTTAAACGTTCGCGTGACAGGAGGAGGGGGAGGAAGAGGAGGAGGAGGAGGAGGAGGAGGAGGAAAAGGAGGAGGATGAGGAGGAGGAGGAGGAGGAGGAGGGGGCTAGGGGAGGGGGACGGGGAGGATGAGGAGGAGGAGGAGGAGGAGGAGGAGGAGGTGGAGGGCCATTCTAAATCCAAGACTCACCAACGATGTTGGAATAAGCCCTGCGTCCAAGCTCCCTCATCATAGGCCCTGTGCGCTGAGGGAAGCGCGCCGTTGGGAGACAGACGTTGGATGTTGGAAGATCCTGAAGTTTTTCAAAACACCATTCGTGTCTCAGACGCCACGAATCAACCTGACTGTTGCGGCGTGACGATCCTGAACCGTGCCAGAACACCATTCCTGGGACTTCAACATCGCGAATCAACGTAACTGTCGCGCCTTGACAATGGGAATCTGTGAAATGTTTGCAGACCTTTAAAACGAATGTGCGTGGCGCCAAGGCGAGAGCCAAATTTCGAAAACGAACCGTCCTCCTTTCGCGGAATTCTTGACGAATGTGCGCTGCGCTGCGCTGAGGACGAATGTGCGCTGCGCTGAGGCGAGAGCCACATTTTGATTACCACCCGCCCTCAATCCGTGAAACTCTTTGCAAACTCTGAAACCAATGTGCGCTGCGCTAAGGCGAGAGCTACATGTTGGAAACCACCCGCCCTCCATCTGTGAAACAGTTGCCAGACTTTAAGCTTGCGGATTATGCATGGTAGGGAAGTGGTAGGCGAAATGCCCGGCCCGCCGTTCGGGCTTGCCTCGGGGTGCGACAGGGAAGTTAGCCAGAAGAAAGAGGAATGGAGGAGGCAGGAGGAGGAGGAGGAGGAGTTAGAGGAGGCACGCTCAGTCCGAGACGCAGGGTAGGGTTCACAGGTGGTTGCTTAGAAGTACCCCCGAGCCTCGTGTAGCCAGCCGCGCCCATGTGCAGGGTGGTTGGCTTTCTCATCCTGACGCTCCTGCTGTTCCTTGTCCTGAGCTTGTTCGAGAGGACGGGGCGGCAGCGAGCACCGGCCGCCGCGGCTCCATGGAGAGTATGATAGAGACATGACTGGAGAGACAAGAGGCATACATCAAAAGACAACACACATAACTCATAGCAGCATTTCGGCAGTATCTTCACAGTCTTGTGCCCTCAAGGGGGCCAGCGAATGTTCGCTAAAGTGTTCCTGATTGTACAGTGTGTAACTATGCTTGCCTACTCTACGATTCATCATTGCCTGAGCTGGGCCGCCGCGTTCAACGTGCGTTCAGCGTTGGAGTATGCGAACATCTCTTCCGCATGTCTTGTACTTCTCTGTGCGGTATTGACATGGCCGCTGTTGTGTCTCCGTGTAAGGAGATGGAAAAAGAGGGCAAAGACTGACCAGCATCACTCCGAGGTCATGCAGGACGGCTCTCATTGCAGTGGTGCGTTGTTAGTTTTTGTTCCGCGTATAGTAGTTTTCTTGCCTGTGCTGATCAGCGACGCGGTGTAGGACGTCATCTCCAGTTTCGCATCTGCGTCGTGTTCTAATCTTGGTTCACGGTGTTCCTACAGCTGCTGCGACCCTACTATTTTGCCACCTCTGCTGTTGTTGCTCCCGTCGTGGCCATATTCGCTCTCGTCACTCTTACCAGCACTTCGCTTGTTGTGCAGCGCTGTCTGTCATCGATGCCATTGTTGCTGGCTTTGTCGCGAGTGTCATTGTTTGGCCCACCTAACATTCTAGGACGAGTCACTGGGCGTGGCCCTCTTCGTTGTCCGCCTTCCACTGGTGACCTGTAGCGTTGCAATATTCCACTAGACATGGGTCGTTAACGAACGTTATAAGTGATTGTCAAGACACCGTGTTGTTTGTATAAAAAGTGAGCTGTGAGGGTGCTGCGCTGTCTTGTGATGTACAGGCAGAGTTCTGGTGCCGTGTTGGAGGTGGATGCCTGGTGCCGTGCAGTGCTGTGCAGTGATGCTGTGTGAAGTTGTGCAGTGTTGATGGCCCTATGCCGTGTGTTGCTGCGTTGGAGGTGCTGGCTCGGTGTCGCCATGCGATGGTGCTGTATTGAGCCCTGCTGTACGGGCTGTGATGGTCCGAGGTGTTGGCTTGGTGCTGCGTAGTGTCGTGTGAGGTCTGACTTGGTGGTCCGTTGCCCTGTGTTGCCGTGCAAAGGCGTCTCGCGGTGCCGCGTGTAGCGGGAACCCAGTACGATCAGGGGCGGTGCAGTGGTACAGTGCCACGGTGTGTCATGTCATGCGTGGCGTCCCGAGGAGTTCTATCTTTTTGGCCTGCTGCCGCATGTTGTCGTGCAACACTGCCTGTCGTTAGGTGCCGCGCGCCTTGCGAAAGCATTTCTGCCTTGTCGCACCGCGTCCGAGGGAGGCCCGATCTGATGGCCCAGCGTCATGCAAAGACTCCAGCGTGTTTACAAGTGGAGAAGGCGTTTTAGCAGCACTCTTATCTTGAACGAATTCTGGGTGGCACGATTACCCTGACGATGTACCCAACCCTTGCGCCATGTGTGGCAAAAATAATAGGGTAGACTTTCTAGGGGTGGTAGCGTGGCAATGCGTATTTTTTCGGCGAACGCTACTTGGGAGGCTCGCGAGCTGCGCGACTCGGAGGACACCGATCGATGGACAAGGGGCGAAGACTAAAAGGAGAAGGCGGACGAGATCTTGAAACATCAGCGCGGCAGCAGAAAAAGGACATGACAACAGGACGCAAGGAAGTAAGCAGGAAATGACGACCAGAGGGAAGCAGAGGAAGGATATATATATATATATATATATATTATGTTCCGAGGCACGCCACCAATCTGTTATAGTCAGTGCCAGCTGCTGGGCCTCTTCCTGGCATCTTCCACTGCGGGATGTGAGGGCGCGCAGGCGCGCCGCGAGGTTTAATCGGGGTCTGCGTATGGCGCCGCTATGCTGGGCCCCTTAGCAGCCCTCGAAAGTGGGGACAGTTTCGCAGGTCGCAGCCCTTCCAGGGATGGCGAGGTCGAGTCTGGATCTGCGTAGGACGTCACTCCGCTGGATCCCCCAACAGCTTTCGAAAGTTGCGACGGTTTCGCAGATCGCAGCCCCCCCCAAGGATGGGAAGGCTTAGTTTGGGTCCGCGTAGAGCGTCATCCCGGTGGACCCCCAGAAACCTTCGAACGTGGCGACCGTTTCGCATATCGTAGCTCCCCAGTGATGGCGAGGTCGAGCCTGAGTCCGCGTAAGACGCCACTGTCCTGGCCCGTTCCCCAGCAGCCCTCGAAAGTGACGATGATCTGCAAATCACAGCCCCTCAGGGATGGCGAGGTCTAACTTGAGCCTGCGTAGGACGTCACTATGCTGCCCCCCTCCCCTAGCAGCCTTCGAACGTGGCGTCAGTTCGCAGATCGCAGCCCCCAGGGATGGCGAGGTCGAGTCTGAATCTGAGTACGACGTTTCTCCGCTTGACCCCCAGCAGCAGTCTGAAACGGCGACAATTTCGCAGATCGCAGCCCCTCAGGGACGGCGAGGTTTACTCGACATCCGCGTAGGACGTCACTCCGTTGGGCCCTCAAGCGGTTCTCGAATGCGACGACAGCTTCGCAAATCGCAGCCCCCCAAATGGCAAGGCTTAGTTTGGCTATAGCGTCATTCTGGTGGACCCCCAGAAGACTTGGAACGCGGCGACATTTTCGTACATCGCAGCCCCCCATGGATGGCGAGGTCGGGTCTGAGTCCGCGTAAGACGCCACTGTGCTGCCCACCACAAGCAATCCTCGAAAGTGGCGATTGTTTCGCAGATCGAAGCTCCTTTTTTCCAGGCGACTCTTGCGGTGCAGACTCGTCGAAAAGCTCCGCCAGTTGGCCTTTGGCGCGCATCGCCATGGCTGAAAGCATCGACGCGTTGGGCGCGAAAGTCGGGCCATAATGGCTTGAGTCTACACGTTTCTGGGACGCGGTGGGGACATGGACCTTTCGTTGTTGCGACTGTTTTTCCCAACCATCTCGTGGTGTTGGGTCTTCGTTTTGAAGAGGCGGTGCCCCGCGTCTCCTCCCGCTGCCCCCTCCCTCCTCCCTCCTCCCCCTCATTGCCTCTGCACTCGGCACACCTCTCACACGTTCCGTAGCCCCAGAGGGAGCTCCACCGAAGGCCCCAGTGGTTGCTCTCGCGTGCGTTTCCCCCACCCTGGGCAGCGTTTCGTGGCCCCATAGGGAGCTCCACCGAAGGCCCCAGTGGTTACTCTCGCATGCGTTCCCCCCACCCTGGGCGGCGTTTCGTAGCTCTCGGGGCCCGCTGGGGGCGCTCCTGGGCCTCCCAGGCGGGCCCCGCAAGGCTCCAAGAGGGCCCTGAGGGGGGTCAGGTCCTGAGGGGGGGTCAGTTCCCCTCCCGCCCCCGCCGCGTCCTGAGGGGGGGTCAGGTCCCCTCCGATCCCCGCCGTCCTGAGGGGGGGTCAGGTCCCCCCGCCCCTCCAGCTCCGAGGGGGGGTCCGGTTTGGCCGGTTCGGTTCGTCGGGCCGGTTCGGTCCGGCCGGTTCGGGTCAGAGGCTGGCGCGGTCCGGTTCGGCCGGTTCGGGTCGAGGACCGGTCCGGTTCGGCCGGTTCGGTTCGGGGGCCGGTTCTCGGTTCTCGGTTCGGTTCGCAGCCATCATGTAATTGTTTTCAGAGACTCAGCTTCGCGATTTCTGCATTCGTCCTCGCGAGCGAATTGACGAGGCACACGCTCGACTCGAAGTGGCCAGGCTCGATGCCCAGTGTGCGGACTTCGTCGCCCCGAAATTCCAGTCACTCATCATCGTACTACTATTCGGAGCCCTGGGGGCACAGCCCGCCACGGCCACTACTCTCCCAGAGCCCCTCAGCGGCTCCGTGCCGCACACCAATCAGCAGTGCGACGAGCTGGTCGAGCGCATTCCGCTCGACGGGCCACATCATGGAGCGGGTCCCTGGGAGCATCGCAGGTGTGTTCGGCAGGGTCTGAGGAGGCGGAAGGGATGCCATGTGCACGGACGCTGTTATGACGTATAACGGTTGCCAACCTGTGCGTGACGGGCGCGTTTTTTCGGGTGGGGCTGTCACGGGGAATTTTGCAAGACCAGGAGGGCGGGGCAGCACGGGATTTCGTTGCCATCCATTTGGAGACTTCGGCCTCTAACGCCAGGCCCTCCCCACAACCTGCCACAGCCTTCTGGGGCGATGCACCGCGCATCAGTTCATCTTCGATTCAGGCACCGACGCCGACACCATCTCATCAGTTCACCAAACGCTACAGACCATCTGGACCCGCTCGCTGCGTGCGGTGCGAGTGGGTTTGTACAGCTTTATGGGCCAAGCGCTCCCTGTGAATGCTACCTGCTACCCCGGCGGAAGCGGCCCCCCCGCACCCCCCTCGCCTTCCCCCGCCCCCCCCGCCCCCCGCAACAGAGGCCGGGCGGGTGGCCCGTGGCGGGTGCCAAACGCCGTGGGTCGCATAAGTGCCACGGACGGAACGCGTTTTGGGTCTGTCAGAAATTAGCAGGAGGAGGATGAGGAGGATGAAGAGGAGGAGGAGGAGGAGGAGGAGGAGGAGGAGGAGGGTAACGAGAAGCAGAGTGAACCGTTTGCAGACGTACCTGATTCCGCTTACTGACTTTTCACAGGTGCGCAGCCCGAGCCCACATGGTTTTAGCACTGCCCGCTGCTTCAGCGGCTCGGATGACACAAATATGGACCACACTAGCGCCTCAAGGCGGCACCAGTGTCTGATGGACCGAAACGGCGTCGGTGAAACATACACGTTTACACCACAAGTGATCTCTGTTTTATCAAGAGCCCCGCATATACGGACAGGAGTAGTGAACAGCATAGGGCACGCATGCACGACAAGACAAGACAAGGATTCGCGTGGGCGGAAACCCATCAGCCCGACATTTCGGGGCGGGTGGCAATTCTCATTGCATGCGTCAGAACCCGTAACTCAGTCGACTCTGGACGGTCGCGCAGAGTGTACAGGACATGTCGGAAGGCAGGTCTGCCCCAGCCACAGGACCGCATGTCCACCACCATGCGAGCCGCATGGTGCACCAGTTGTTCCAGACTCAAGCCGATATCCATCCCTCCACCTGGAAATGCGTCCGAGCATATATGCCGCAGTGCCCGTGGGGATGCTGACTAGGCCGGCACTGTCACGAATGGTTTTGGCAGGAGGTCCAAAGTACACATATCGAGATCCAGCACCATGTCTAACCATTCGAGGCGACGGCCCTCCGAAGCAATATCAAACAACACTGGATACATGAGGCGCAAAGCCTCTCGGAGACAACGTTTGCAAAGAATTGCGGACACCATCGCCGCGTCATCTGCCGCAAGCAGCGACGTCTGACCATCGGCAGCCAGGCGGGAGGAAGCCTTGCGCCTCCAGCAGCGGCACGTGATCTTCCCACTTCGTCTCGGCCACGCACAGGATCAGTGAGCGCGCGATTTTGCGTATGAGCCCCCCTAATGGGGGACCCCGCCGAATTGCACAACGCGATCTCCAGCGCTGTCAAGATGCATGCGGGGGAAAGCGGCGAGGTGCACTGCAAGCTCCTCGAAAGTGAATGTGGTCAGATACTTCCAGAGGTTCCCCTGGTCTGCCGCCGAGAAACACCCGGCGGCTCCGTGCTCGCAACCCTGTCGCCGCCCGCTGGGGCTGGCGCGTCTGCAGCCCGACGCGGAGGGAGCAGCGCTGCATCGTCGGCGTCTGAGGCCTGGAGGCTTTCGAAACTCCCCCTCCCCCTCCCCCTCCCCCCCTCCTCCTCCTCCTCCTCCTCCTTTTCCTCCTCCTCCTGCTCCTCCTCCTCCTCCTCCGCGACGATGCCCTCCAGGTGGTGGCGTGGACCCGAGCATCTGAAGTACGGACAGGCGCTAGCACCCGGAGCCTGGCGCGCTCGAGCTACGCGATGTCGGGAAGCTTCGGCACAATCCTTCAACCGCCACATTTCAAGGCCTGCGGCAAGCCTCTTCGCAAGCCCTCGGGAGAGTAGTCTCCAGCTGGCCTTGCGCGGCCACCCAGCGAAACTTACCACCTTCCTGCAGCAGCTGTGCCCATGGCGCGTGCATGAGTGTGGACACTCTGCTGGGCCTGCAAAGCACTTGCGCTTCACTGTGTTTTAAACGTGCGGCAAACGCCACACCTCCCTAGAAATGTCAAGCCACTTGTGCAGCCTCTCACGGACACCGGCGGAGAGCGATGTATGCAGCAGGCTGTTGGCAGTTTCCTGCGTGAAGGGGCGAAACTCCACGAGGGATTGTTTTGGACATGCTGGAACAGGTTTGCAACACAACATCTCCGTGGAACCACCCACGCCGACTTCTTGACTTTAACATCTTGGCAAATATGGCAAGCTTCGTCCAGCGATCGAAGGACGGATTGGAATGTCCCACCTCTTCGAAATGAACTGCATGCCAATTCCTGCCTCCGCCTGGCCCCTAGCTCTGGACGACAGCCTGGCAAACTCATCCCATGTGACTGCTCTTGCTGCGCGGGAGCTGTCCACCATGTCTGAAAACAGTGGTGGACGCCCTGCTGCCACCCAGATGTGAGTACGCATCCGGACTCTCTCAACACAAGGGCGTTTGCATCTCATCGCACAGTCTTGGAGACAACGGCTCACAGATACGATCCGGGAGCGGAAACCAATCTTCACGACGGAGCCGTTGGTGGGCGGAAGGCCACGAGCTCGAAGAGTAGCGTTCACTCTTCGTTCAGCACGTTGCTTCCGCAGAGGGCCAACCACCAAACTAAGGAGTTGGGCTGCTACGATCGGCCCACACTCGATGCCCCAAGCAGCCTCCATTCTTTCCCGATCGATGGACGCGCGCAGCGTGCCCATGAAGAGGACGAGCAAAGGCCAGTGCAGCTCACTAATACACATCGACCGGGCCCTGGGCACCAGCAACTGCACGCTGCCATGCCGCATACACGTGTGCGAACGATTCCTTCCACCACCTCTCCGACTTCCAGGCGTCACACTGTTTGGCTGAAGATGGCGGCGTACTACGATGCATACCCGGGCTGACACCAGCGTGAGTCACTTGCGGGAGGCCTCTGTCGAATATGCCGATCATGCTAGCAACATGTCGCTTTTCCCGCCGTCCCTGAAGGGGCCTCCGCCGCGGTGGACGTGGGGAGATGGTGAACGACCTGCGCAGCTCGAAAGTGCGACCCCTGTTCGCTCGGCATGGGAGTGAACGTATGCAGGCCGTCTCCACCAGCCGCATCAGCTCGGCAGGTCCTGTACGCAAGCACAGCAATGTTTGATGAGAAGGTTGCCCACGCCTCGCCAACCTTAATAACCGCACCTTGTTCGAATCAGGGAGGCTCGAGCGAGCACGTCCGCAGCCGTGCTCAAGCCACCTGCACAGGACGCCACCGTGGCCCCGTGGATTCACTGCAGGACAGCGCTTGGTCAATCCAAAAGAGAGGAAGCCAGTGCCAACCCATGCATACACAGCGGACTGGCTTGCGACTTGTGTCTTCATGTGGGAGCGTCAAAGCACGCCACTGCAACTCAAGGAACCAAGTAATGGCGCGTCTCAACAAAATTTCACCCCCTGCTTCTCTGAGGCGAGCTGGGCAGCAAAGCATGATGAAACGGAGCAAGTGCCAGCAAGATTGCTCTAGCTTGTCGGCAACACGAACTCTTTCATAACCAAAGGGCCGGCCAGCAGATATGAAGTGCCCCCCACAGCAGCTCGGCATCTACATCGTGCCGCCGTGTCCTACGAGAAATTGGAAACAAAAATAGCATGTCTTTCTCAAGAAGTTCGCAAAACCCAGAAAAGCTGTGTTGGTGGACAAATGCTGGCAAGTCTCGGTGGTAGTCAAACTGAAGAAGGCATTGATCAAGACCACCACGGCTGAAGTACAGACCAGGTCGCGCTCCTGAAGAGCTCGTACACCGCCAACGCTGAAACGCTGAGCCTGCTCCCGGTCACCGCCTAAAGCCTCAACGAATGATTCTTGGGTGACACATCTGACGAGCAAGGATGAAGATCCAGGCATCTCCTCTCAGCTCGTGCGAATCTGGCGTGTATGTAGAGTTAAGGGTGTCACGTGAACCGCCGTCGCAAATAGCCGGGAGTGGTCCACGAATCGGGGGTAACGAGAAGCAGAGTGAACCGTGTGCAGATGCACCATATTCCGCTGACTGATCTTTCACAGGTGCGCAGCCCGAACCCATATGGTTTTAGCACTGCCTCCTGCTGCAGCGGCTCGGGTGACAAACATACGGACCGCACTGGCGCCTCCAGGCGGCACCAGTGTCTGATGGACCGAAACGGCTTCGGTGAAACATACACGTTTACACTACAAGTGATCTCTGTTCTATCAAGAGCCCCGCAGGTACGGACAGGAGTGAGGAACAGCATAGGGCACGCATACACGACAAGACAAGACAAGGATTCGCGTGAGCGGAAACCCATCAGTCCGACATTTCGGGGCGGGAGGAGGAGGAGGAGGAGGAGGAGGAGGACGAGGAGGAGGAGGAGGGTGCCTGTGCGCGCTTTTTTCTCCTGCCGGAGGGGGAGGAGGAGCAGGAGGAAAAGGAGGGAGTCTCGCGTCACGGAGCCGCCCCAATGGAGAGGTCGGGCCTGTTTGGGTGCAGGCCTCTGCAGCCTTGATTGAAAGCGAACGTGTGGCTTCTCGTGGACTGCCAGCACTCCTGAGCTGAGCCTCGAACGTAGCTCAGGGTGGCATCTGAATTGCGTGTCAAACAAGCTGACACGAAAGAGCCATTCCAAACTAACAGGGGCACATTATTCTGGTTCAGCGCCCGAATACTAGGCCGTAAAGCTTGGAAACGTTACCACGTTCGCCTCCAACAAGGGGTGAGTCCTTGAATTCCCCATGCGCCAGCAAACAGTCCTGACCATGCCAAAGACCAGTCCGAGTCCCCAGTAGCGCAGCATGGGCCCACAGGTGGGGATGCTTTCTACTGGGAGCTCTTCGGGACCTTTCAGTGGTAACCCACGGGCACTGAGAGTACAGACGTGGCCAACGTGGGAGCAAATTGGTGGCAAGGAGTGTGCATGGCGATTCTGATGCGGCGCTGCAGCTGCTGGATCTCGGTCTCGGATGCTGAGGGGGGGCACCCAGCTTGGCGGCCTCGGCCTCGTCGTTGCCCAAGCGCCTCCAGCGCTCGGCATCGGAGATGCTCACTTCCTGTGAGTCTTTACGAGTAGCAACCTTCCCGACCGACTGGACGCCACACACCCCCAAACGATCATCATCATCGGCCCAGCGAGCGGAAGTTTCTAACTGAGCTGCGCAGACTGTGGGCCCGAACGCTGCAAAACGACTTTGGAACAGTCGCCAGAGAAGGACCTGTGACCAACCGAGAGGAGGGAGGAGGAGGGAGGAGGAGGAGGGAGGAAGAGGGAGGCAGAGGAGGAGGAGGAGGAACATAAGGAGGATGAGGAGGAGGATGAGGAAGAGGATGGGGATGAAGGCGATGAACTGGATGGTGGAGGAGAGGGGGAGGAGGAAGGAGAGAAAGCAGGAAGAGGGCGATGGGAAGAATTGAGGAGGATGAGGATGAGGATGAGGAGGAGGAGGAGAAGGAGGAGGAGGAGGCAGAGGGTGAGGTGCGAACTGCCACATTGCACAGCAGCGCGGCATTTCTGGAAACATTCAAGAAGACTCACGTTTGCACGCACCATGGTGGAAGAGGGCAGGAGGAGGAGGGGGAAAAGGAGGTGGACCAGACGACGGAGGTGGTGGAGGAGGAATTGCGCCTCTGCGATCAACCGCTTCCTTTCCTACAGCTGCTCTTGTGGGTGCCTGTGCAATCACCGCGCTTGCGACCGCCAGGATGCTCACGAATTCTCAGCGAACTTGGTGCCCGTCGCACGCAGCGATGCGGACCTGCTCTCTCTGGCCCTCATGAGGAGAGGAGCGATGCACGAGGAGAGAGGACACGCTAGGTGCGCTCGCGCCGCATGACATCCTACCCTTCACCCATCTCTTCGCATTGCTCTGAAGTATCCTCTTTCCGGAAAGCAGGATGCTCACCGAATGGCAGTTTCGTAATCAGATTTGTCGTTTGAAGTGCAGTATTCATGCATTGGATGATGAGGAGCAGCATCAGATGGCGCAGAGGGGGCGGAGGAGGGGAAAGGAAGAGGACTACAACGGCGAGGAAGGAATCGTTGGGCGACAGTGCCATCAGCAATACCGCCCCGTCTTTCCCACGCACGCTTTCGTTCTTTTGTTAGCCTCTTCCCTGAGTTTCCACTTGCCTTATGGTGCTCGCAGCTGCAGTTGGTTGGGTCTTTCGTCAGGCTAATGTTGTCACGGCAATGATACCGGGGGGCAGAATTAATTGAAACGTTGGGTTCCGTGTGCTAGCGACCTGCGGGGCAGAGTGGGGAAGAGAATGAGGAGGAGGAGGAGGAGGAGAAGGAGGAGGAGGAGGAGGACCAGGAGGAGGAGGAGGAGGAGGAGGAGGAGGAGGAGGAGGAGGAGGAGGAGGAGGAGGAGGAGGAGGAGGTGGGGGACGATCGCACGGCTGTGTGGAGGGGGTGTCGGGTCGGAATCGAGATTCGCCCGATGGAGATTTGGTGGGTGCACTGTGGCCCCCCCCGTCCAAGTGCCACGTCGGGGGGGGGCCAGCAAGTCCGAGCTGGCACTACCCCGAGTGGCATCAGCAGGAAAGTGCAGCCCATTCAGCGGCAAAGAGAACATCCTGGGGGAGTCCTCAAGCTCACACTGCAATTCAGCAGCTCGCAGAAGTCAGAACCACGGAGGTGTCAGAGGGACTGCGCTCATTCGGGCAGCCTCAATTACGTATGTTTGGAATTGTTGAGACTGCTTTTGCACAGCGGGCTCACACAAACGGAGGCCCAATATACTCGGACTAAGGCGTTGCAGTCAGACCTTATTTTTATTTCTCTGGCTTCGTCTCCTGGCAAGAATTGCTGATAAGCTTGCCCGAGCTCGGCGCAGTTGCCGTTTGGACCAAATGGCTGCCAGTTTTCACTAATGAGATAAAGCCAGCGGGGCTTCTGCTCATAGGGCTCCTCGACGCACCTGTCGAATGCCTTCTTCTTAGTGGGCTCACTGCTGCTTCCTCTGGCCAAGCACGTGGCCAAGGACGTGCCAGACATGTCGGGGCTCTTTGTGTCGATGCGCACCAGGCTCTCGCAGGTGGTGCTGCTCAGCCCCTTGCTACCCTTGCTGGGCAGGTTGTCCTCGTGGAAGTGGCAGCCGGTCTTCTTCGCCATCGAGCGCATAGTGCCAGCGATCTCCGTTTGGGTCGTGAGCTCACCATCCACTGAGACGACACCCTTCGCGAATTTGGGCTTCTCGACAGACTGCTCATCCGCCTTCGCGGACTCCTTCGCTGCATCCTCGGCATGCCAATCGATGACCTCCTTCTTGACCCCAGCCACGTCGGGGCTCTGCTGGACGATGCGCACCTGGGAATCGCAAGTGGTGGCGTACAGTCCCTTACTGTCCACGGTGTGCAGGTCGTCGTAGGGGAGGGCGATCTTCTCTATCGAGCGGGCAGGTTTCCCGCAGTCGGTCGCCGTCTGGGTGGTGGAGGGGGAGACGGAGGCGGAAGAGGACGAGAAGGGACCAAGTGGAGGGGGACCAGGGGGAGGGGGTTGCAGGAGGAGGCGGAGGAGGAGGATGGTTGTCCGACTGGCGGCGTGGTCGCCCTTTTCCTCGCGAGGTGCGAAAATTCATGCCGACCATGGTCGTGGAGAAGTACCAGTTCCGCGGCACGCCCTCCGCCTCTTGTCTTCAGGAGGAGGAGGAGCGGGACGAGTTAGGACGAGGGAGGTGGGCTCAGGGGGGAGAAGGAAGGGAGGAGGGATGACGGCGGCGGTGGTGGTGATGATGCTCCTGAACTTTGAGTTGAGCAAATTATGGTTGACTCCCTCAACCGGTGCTCATTGTTTCTTCAACGCAAGTACCCCCCCTGGGGCTCGCGCCTTACTTTTCCCAACCGTTCTGTGGTGTAAGGTCCTCGGTTTGAATCAGAAGCGTCCCGCGTGCCTCACTCCCTCCTTCTCTCCCTCCTCTCTCCTCTCTCGTCGTTATCTGCATCACCATCCTAACAGTCATTAGCGTTACCAATTCCATCACCGTCATCGTCATCGTCATTACCGTCATCTTCAATACCATTACCCACCATCATTAGCATACTCTTCATCCGTATCCGCATTCGCATCATCGTCGTCACCGTGATCAGCCGCATCATCATCACCATCATCATCATCACCATCATCAGCAGCAGTCTCATCATCATCATGCTCATCCTCATCATCATCATTATCATCATCCTCGTCGTCATCGTCGTCGTCAGCATCATCGTCATCATCCTCATCATCAGCATCATCAGCATCATCATCATCACCACAACCACCACTACCATCACCACCATCACCACCACTACCAACATCATCATCGTCATCATCATAACCATCATCATCATCATCGTCATCATCGTTGGCGTCATCAGCATCATCATCGTCATCATCATTATCATTCATCTTATTATTATCATTGTTTTTATTTGACTAATAACAGTAATGCTAATGAAAATTAGTATTGATCTTATCATTCTGCTAGGTCTTATTATTATCACTATCATTATTATTAATATTATTATTATTCTTATTATTATTATTAATATATTATTATTATTATTATTGTTGTTGTTATTATTATTATTATCAATATCATCATTATTATCGTCATCAATCCGCCGAAGGCCCTGGTGGGAGGGTTCGCACGCGGTCCCATCTTCCATGTCGGCAGACCCCTTCAACGTTTCGTGGCCCCATAGTTGCTCCACCGAAGGTCCCAGAGGGAGGGCTCGCATGGCGCCACCGCACACAGTCCGGCACATCCATCACACGTTACGTGGCCCCATAAGCAGCTCTACCGAAGGCCCTAGTGGCAGTGATCGCATGGTACCGCCGTGCCGATTTCGCTACATCCTTCACACGTTTCGTGTCCCCATAGGGAGCTCCACCGAAGGCCCCAGTGGCAGTCATGGCGCCACCGCACCTATTTCGGCACATCACTCACACGTTTCGTGGCCCCGTAGGGCGCTCCACCGAAGGTCCCAGTGGGAAGGTTCGCATGCCGCAACCGCGCCTATATCGTTACACCCCTCACACGTTTCTTGGACCCATAAGGGGGCTCCACCAAAGGCCTCTATAGGAGGGTTCGCATGGCGCCACCGCGCCCGTTTCTGCGTCTCTCACATGCTTCGTGGCCCCATAGGTTTCTCCACCGAAGACCCCAGTGGGAGGGTCCGCATGGCGCCACCGCGCCCATGTCGGCACACCCCTCGCACGTTTCGTGGTTCCATCAGGGGGCTTCACCGAAGGCTCCAGTGGGAGGGTTCGCATGCGGTCCCGCCTTTCATTTCGGCACACCACTCACACGTTTCGTGACCCCGCCGAAGTCCCAAGGAGCGGAGTTCGCACGCGTCTGCGCTTCTCATGTCGGCACACCCCTCGCACGTTTCGTGGCCCTAGAGTGAGCCCCACCGAAGGCCCCAGTGGCAGTGCTCACACTCGTCGTCTCCGACCAGTACGGCACACCCATCACACGCTTCGTGACCCCATAGGGAGCTCCACCGAAGGCCGTAGTGGAAGTGTTCGCGTGTCGCCACCGCACCCATTTCGGCACGCCGCTCACGCGTTTCGTGGCCCCATAGGGAGCTCCACCGCAAGCCTCAGCGCAGTTCATTTCGGCACACCCGTAGCCCGCCCCCCTTTCGGCACACATATCACACGTTTCGTGGCCCCACAGGGAACTCCACCGAAGGCCCCAGTGGCAGGGTTCGCATGCGGTACCCGCCTCCATGTCGGGACACCCCTCTCACATTTTTGGGCCCATAGTTAGCTCCCTTCCTTCGTTGCCCGTGGATTGCGGTACTCACGCCTGTGTTTCGTTGGATCCGTCGCGAGGATTTTTTGGCAAACGCGTAAGAGCCCGTGATTGCAAATATTGTTTGGTGAAACAGTTGAAGTCTTATTCTGAGTACTAACCAGAATGCGAGCACGAAGAAACATACGAAGAGGACGGCGAGTCGGAGGAGGAGGAGGAGGAGGAGGGGATTCTGTGGCCTGGGGGTCCGTGCCTTCAGAACACTTCGCGCGCCTCTTGGGCACTTTTTTGGCTCTCTTTGTGCCCCTTGGGATTCGTTGGTGCAGCTGCTCGCGTCATAGGGCTAAGCCACCACCGCGAAGTGAAAACAGTGATTTTCTATTGAGCACATGTAAAGATCCTTTGGCTTACGCCGCACCGCCGACCCCTTGGGAGAGAGTCGCTGTTGCGGCTTCTTGGTGCTGCGTGACTCATGATGTATTTCTATTTGGTGGCCTTCTGCTCATCCGCCACCGTGCCTGGGTTGTGGTTCAGAGGCCTCTTGGATGTTCGTTGGGATCTCGTGAGAAGCCTTTCGGGGGCCTGCCCGAGGCAGTTTGGAGGCCTCTGGGGGGCTCTTTTGGGGCCAGTGCCTCTTTTGGGCCTCTTGGGGGTCTCTTGGGGGCCTTTTGGGGCCCCTTGGGGGCCTCTTGGGGCCTCCCGGGGCATCTTGAGGCGGAAAGCTAGAATTTTCGGTTCGTGGTCCCCTTCTTGGGCTCTTGAGGCCCTCTTGGGGCACTCTTGGGCCGTTTTTGGGCCTTCTTGGGGGCCTCTTTTGGGGCCCTCTTGGGGCCCTCTTGGGAGGCCTCTTCGAAGCCTCCTGGGGCGTCTTGGAGGCATCTTGGGCTGTCTGGAGGCCATCTTGGGCGTCTTGGGACGATGTTTCGGTGACTCGGGGCCCTCTTGGACCGTCTTGGAGGTCTCTTAGGGCCCTCGTGGCCCGTTTTGAGGCCCTCGATGCCCCCCTGGCAGAATTTCTGGAGCAAAGTACCCCTCCTGGGCCGCCCGGCGAGACCGCCCCCCTCCAAATCGACCGGACCGGGCTCCTGGAGGAGGGGTTTGGGGAGGGGGAAGCATCTCACACGCCAAAGAACCCCAAGGGGTCGGCGTATTCTTCAGTGCCCGGGGAACAATTCCGGCTTTTGGGAGGCTCATGCGACACACCCTCGGGGCGCCCGAGCATTCCAGCCCGTCGGGGCTATGGGCACTTTGAGAACCCTTGAGTCACCCCACCTCTCCCGATTGCTTGAGCCTTCGATCGGAGGGCACCAACTATGCACCAACACCGATCCTGGCCCAGGATCACCCTGGGCCCAGGATCGGTGTGTATGCCTTCTTGCGCAAGGCAGGAGGGCGTATAATATAAATCGAGTGCGGTAGGCAGTCTTCGCGCCGACGCGGCAGTGACCCGAGCGCGGGCGGCCAGGGCTGAACGCCGCCTGTGGCCCAGAACCGGTCCACGCCGAGAGGTCCGCGCCGTCGGGCAGCCGCGATCGCTCAGGGCGTCGGGAGAGACCTCGCGCGGTGCCAGAAGTCAGCGCCGACGTCGTCTTGAGGGGGAGCCCGCCGCCCGTGCGCCAGGACCTGTGTGGGGGAGGAGGCTCGGCCTTTCCCCCCTCGAGCTCCGCCTGGGAGTCCAGAGCAGCGCCTCGGAGTCCTGAGGTGTCCTGCGGAGTCCCCGGGAACCCTCACGAATCCCTGGGAATCCTCAGGAGTCCGAGGGAATATGCCTCAGACTCCTAGGGAATCCCCAGAAGCCCAAAGGAAACCCTGGGACGCCTAAGGATTCTGGCGGGGGCCCAAAAGCCACGCAAGCTTTCTGCGTGGGCCGCCGCCGGACTCCGCAGAGCGTGCGGCGGGGCCAGGCTTCCTCGCCGGCCCGCCCCGCCGCCTCCCGAGCGAGTCGGCGGCACGCAGGAGCGATCTCTCGCCGGAGTGACGTTTTGTCGGCGGCGAGCGAGGGGGGGAAGTGAGAACAAGGGCGCCCTCGAGGGCGCGAAGTTATTCGCGCTTCTCGCTTCGCGGTTCGGCTCCGATTCCTCTTCATCCTCCTCTTCTCCCTTGGGAGGCGGCGCGAGAGCGCGAAGTTATTCGCACTTCGCGCTTCGCGCAGCGCGAAGCGCGAAGTTGGGAGCCCTTGGAGAAGGAGAAGGCCTTCTCAGAATGCGGCGGGACTTCTCAGAAGGCCTCGCGCCTCCTGAGAAGTGTTCCGTGTCTTCGGGGAAGGCTCAGAGGCCTTTTCAGAAGGTGGAGGGACTCCCGAGCCTTCCGAGAAGGCCTTCTCCTTCTCACTTCCCCCCTGGGCTCGCCGCCGATTTTGGTGCGGGCCCAATGAGGCCCCCGATCGCCAGAATGCGATGCGACAGCAGCGGCTTGCGCGCGGGGTGGTGTCCCCATAGGGCGCCCCCTTTGGCCGCGCACTGGGGTCACTCTTGCCTAGGGTCACGCTTGGTCAGCTTCCGGAGCTTCCACCTGGTGCACCGCCGTTCCCGCGAGGAGCGACAGCTCTGCCGAGCTTGCACCAGAACTCCCACCGCCCCCAGCTTGCGCAGATTTTTGGCCGCCCCCTGATGTCAACGGCACCAGGTGGGTATAGGCAGCGACACAGCCGTGGTGGACCTCGTGTGAGCAATATTCAAAGCTTTTGAAAGGCTACGGCCGCGCCGCACGCTCTTTGCCCCACCGGCCATGGACACACGCGCCGCGCCGCATGTGCTTAGTCTGGCGCCTCGCTCAGTCGGCCTGGGAATGGTTATGTACCTACTCCTCTTCCTCCTTTGCCTCCACGGGAGTTGAAGAGCAGCGGCGGCTGGTCACAAGACCTCTCTTCCGTTCCATTCCATCTCATTCAAGGCCCTTCTTTCTCTTCTTGTTTCTTCCCTTCCACCTCCCGCTTCTCCATGGCAGGCATGAGGCAGCGAAAGATGAAGGTGGACATCGCCTTCAAAGAGCTCGCTCTCACGTTGCCAAGCGGGGCCAAGGTGCTGGAAGGTGTGACAGGAGAGTTCGAGGATCCCAGTCTTGCCCCACATGCTTTGCACCTCCTCAGTCGAACGTTCTGAAGCAAACTAGTAGTTGAGGTGGAGATATCGGGGTGGATTGGACGAGGCGTGCACGACGATGTCAGCGATCTTGTCGGCGGCGACAAGTAGGTGATGGCCACGTGGAGACGGAGGAGGGAGGGGAGTGAAGGATAACGAAACGGGAGAGGAAGATGGTGATTAGGAGGAGGCGCGCAAGGGAGTTGGAGAGCCATAATCAGTACGACGCTGGGGGAAAGGAATGTTAACCTCGACCAGCTGCGGAACTCCATATCGTAGTGCTTGCGCGCTCCTTCACAGCAGCTGCACCACCTGCTCGCCATGTCCAAAGCCCTCTCCGCAGGGCAGGTTGCACCACGGAGCAATTGGGCCACTCGCGCGCACCCCGCCAGGTCAGACAGAGGCGCCCCGCCGACCGACCGTGGCCCCTCCGACGCAGAGACCTCCCCGAGATCGGGGCGCGCAGGGCGTGGCTTCACGACGGGTGAATCCGGGGAGTACTCGGGCGGTCCTGCGCACCCGTGCTCGGCGCCCAAGTCCGTCCAGCTCAACCCCGGGAAGCGCTCCCGTCGTCAAGGGCGCGCCCGGCACGAGAGAGAGAGAGAGAGGGCGCTGCGCGCGGGAGGCGTCCGCAGCCGGCTGCAGGTGCCGAGAGATCTCTCTCTGGCCCCAGATGGGGGATGCGTGTGCTTTCAGCTCGGCGCAGGTGCGCCTCGCATGCCCAGGACTCGACGACCTCCTGCAGCGTACTCGTAGTCGCCCCGCACACGCACTGGCCAGATAGCGTCCCGACGCACTCCAGCGGGAAGTGGAGCACGTGTGTCTTGCCGAGGCAGTGCCGATGCAAGTGACGTGTGCAGCGAGGTCAACTGCAGCCACACCGACAAGCTAACGTTCAGTCGCTCCGCCTCGACGCGATGCGCCAGCAGGCCCACCTGCTCGAGGTGGCACTCTCGAGTGCTCGCGAGCGTGCCTATGATGTCTACGCCTTCTTGAGGTTCTCTGTCGCCAGAGCCGCGCTTGAGTCCAGACGAAAGTCCCGCTGCCGCGCCCAGCGCTTCGCCAATCACATGAGGTTGGGGCAATTGTTGCGAGGCTCCCTCGAGCGGATCGCCTTAGGTATGACATACTTGGATCAACACCTCATCCATTTGTACATTGCCAGCGCTGAGGACATAAATAAGCGTTAGCCGACCACAGGCGGAGCCAAAGATCGTCGGACTCGTCTCGTTTTTTTGACTGCGGTGCAGAGGTTGTCAAGGTGATCTTGCGTCGGTCCTTGCCTTGGAGGTCAATTCCTGCTTTCTCAAGATGCTCCCCGACGTCTGTATCCTCGGGGAAGATCTCGAGCTCGCCTTCGACGCCTTCCATGGTGGCCCCTCCTC